GAGAGAGAGAGAGAGAGAGAGAGAGAGAGAGAGAAAAACACGAAACTTACTAGCAGGAAAGTGCATCACGCCGTTGCCTCGATCATCCCTCGTGCTTCGCAGTCCATGTGCTCGAAAGAACGACAGAGATTTCCTCCGAACAACGAACAACAGCCGAAGGGAGATTCTTTCTCCGAGAATGCGACGAGACTGCGAGAGGTAACGGTAGGGAATAATAATCGCGCGATAAGCACGACAAATATATAGGCCAGGTGTCGCGAGAAACAAGGAGGCGAGGATCTCGTTGGATTGTACACGCTCGGCGGGCAAACAGCGACTGACTGAAGTGAACTCTGTCGCAGTGTGAGAGCACGGGCTGCGTTCGCGGGTCGATCGAACACGTTCTGCGCCCCTCCTCGGCACCGGCGTCGAAAACCACCCCCGACGCAACGCTCCGATGCACCTGCAACACCAGCTACTGCTCTTCAATTCGCCGCGCGACGCTCTTACACCAATCTTCGCGACACCGAAGACCGAAATCGAAGTATCGCGAGAACATAGGGAGATACGTATGCTACCGTAATAACTAGACACTTATTGGTTATTAAATTAAATGGTTGATATTTCTTTTTAAAGGCTTCGACAATTACGATTGACTGTCTGCATTCTCGTTTATTCGTTTCTAGTAAACGCAGTCTGCATAAACATTGTCAGTGTCGTTAGAAACGGAAGTTAAGAAAACTGTACGATTGTCTCGCAGAATTCTTCCCTAGGAACAGTAAAATACAGTTTGACCATTTATTTTCTTAGTGAAATTTCGGACCAATCTGCAAGTTCATATATAATACACTTTGATATAAAAAGTTGACTTATTGGAGCAGAACTAAAGACTCGAAACAAAATTTCGAACTGTCGTGAGCTGTCCTTCGACGATGAAAAAAAAAACTCGAGAACGTTTGTAAAATTGAACAGTGAAAAATAGCCGGAAGCTAGTTTACCAAACAAAGAATCTCAAAGACCAAGGACGCGACAATTTTGGAGAGACGAAAACGAAAACTGTGAAAGAGCGCGTTTAAAAACAAGAAAATAAACTGATTTGATTAATCCACTAAGAACCAAGCAATTTATCACAATGCTGCAAATATTTCGATTTCTTTCAACTTCATTCAAGATGAAATACTGAAAAGAATATTAAATAAATCCTTGAAATTTCAATTGACTCAAATACTTAAAAAAAAAAAAAAATGATATTTGGTAATATAAATTGATTGGGAAGAATTGCAACAACAACGGATTAAAAAATCATGATCTAATCTAATTCCATATAGTCTTGATGTCGAATTTTAAGTGATCCTACTAGATATTGAAGACAGTTGTATTAGTTGTTACTGTATACTTCAATGTATTGTATTCAAGGTTCTTTACAACGTAAATATTTTACAATAACTAATAAAGACCTGAAGGAACTAAAATTTTATATTCCGGGGCCCCTCAAAATTTCGTATCATTCCTATATAATATTCAGTGGATGATGACAAATTTCCACTTAAATTCCACTCGTTTATTTAAATTTATAAAAGTCTGTAATCTAGTATCAAGCAAGCATTTTCACTATGTATGTATTCTGTCCAATCCCAGTTTATAATTTTCAGCTGCATCTGTATATGCATGAGTCAAACAATACTAAACATCACCATAGCAACGAATCGTTTCTCTTTTGTTCAGCTGAAGTATTCGAGGGAATTTGCAGGACACAGAGAAACAGTAACATAACAAACTGTTTCGGGAGCATTAACTCTAGCGTTTTATCGAGAAGTATAACATATTACATACACGATTATCATCATGAGCACTGATTTGTCGATGCAAGGAAGCATGAATAAGATAACTTACAATCTGCAAAAAGAGGTAAGAAAGCAGAATTTAGATTCCAAAATTTCCACGTGGACCATGCTTGCACTTGAGTTTTCCTTTCAATTTTTCATAAGACACTTCACTCTCGAGGGTAAAAAACATTTGAGATTCCTTGAAATCATATAATCATTGTTAATAAAGATAACAAATACTAATAAAAAATAAATAGTAAGAGTAATTACAATTTTTTAGTTAACGAAGAATAGTGAACAAAAATTTATTTTCTCCGTCTTTACGATGCTTTTTCAACAATGAAGATAAAATAAAAAATTCCAGAGAAAAACCAAATGGTGTTTAAACCATAGGAAAATTTGTCTTAAAATAATCTGATATAAAATATGTTAAAAATTTATCTTTGAATTTATCTTTGATGGCTATCACATGGAACTTGCGAAAATGAAATGAAAAATTTCTTACGACAATTATCGGATTGTGAATTTTTATGCAGAAAATTGACAAGTGCAAGAATGTACGTAATATACAAAAATATTAAATTTCAATTAAACATAACATGATTAGGTGTATATAATGTACAAAATATTTAAGGAGAATATTTATCATAATATATAATAAATAAAATAAATATATACTTAGATTCGATTTTCTTACCATAGTATGTTTATAAAAATTTTAAAATGCATGAAAATCCGCGGCTTAATGATTACTAATTAATGTTGAACCAGGAGGAGAACCGAATTTTGGAACGTAATCGAAATATATTGTACCTCATATGTGATTATCTGGATCAAAATGGGTGAGTATATCGTAATCCAAATTTTTCCTTAGTTATAATTTTTGCAGATAGCATTAGTGGCCAATTAGTTCTTTGATTAACAACTTGTATAATTAAATTATTCTACAATCATTAATAAGAAATATTATATAAAGAAAACAAAGTTCAAGTTGGAAATTAGAGATCTGTAAATAAGATAAGTATAGTTCTATAAATTTGAGAGACGGAACAATTGATTATACATATACTATTATATTAATCACAACTGATTACTTAATTACACTATATGGCAACGAGATGTTTACGAAACTTTTATTAATTATTATTTATTTTCAGATATGCACAAACTAACGTTGCCCTACTTCGAGAAGCTCGTCTAACTCAAGAGTATCGGGTCTGCGACAACATTGATTTAAAAATAATTATCACGGAGTATGAAAATTATTATAAGATGAAGTTCCAAAAATACCCTATGTTGTGTGTGAAAATAACAAAGGAAACGTCAAATGCAAGGAAAGTGTAAGGATTAAAATTATTCAAATAACAAATATGAAATTTTCAACCATGAAAATCCTGTCCATAGTAAGATTTGAAATATTATCGATTCTGCATAGAACAAAATTGCAATTTCATTTGTAATTAAAATAAATACTTGAATCACAACGTTTGAAAAATTCTTAATGTTATTATTGTTAAGTAAAATCACAATTTAATTTAATTCTTTTGTAAAATAATTTGAAATATTTTATAGAACTATTTGCTTAATTTATTACATATCTTGATAAAAAAACTGGAAAAATCTTTGCTGATTTATATGATAATTTAATTCGAATGTCTTATTGGTAGCAACTTTTTAGGAAATATATATTCTTTGTAAATTTGTAAATAAAAGTTCTTTGTATATTTTTCTATATAATTTAACATATACGAAAATCATTGCATAAAAATTAATTGCAATATTTATAATTTCATCTTTTGCAGAGCTAGCAAAGCAAAAGTCCCATTGTTGTCTACAACTTACAAACGCGACTTGATAAAAGAAACAAATGGACAGGAAAAGAATGATGACGGTACGAATAATATTAACCTGGCAATGACGGTGACATCGATTTTCCCTAATCAAAATTATGGGGTTCCGTCAGAAGAACCACTTGATTATCCAAAGGAACGAACGAACATACAATCGAAGATATCGAATTCCATTGAAAAACTATATCCAGGAAATTCGGAATTGCAAAAGATCGCTGAAGATATTTCACACGTAAGTTCATTTTCATAGTTCAAAGTCGTTCGAACGATTAATATAAAGAAATATTTATTTACTGAATTGAGATAACACATGAAGTTTAACACAACTCTTTCATTGATTTTGCTGAACTATCGTGGCGTCATCGATATATTTTTCTATTTCATGATTTCTTATATGAATAATTATTTTTACTCTCGCGTACGCTTTTAAACAAAACTTTAGTTGGCTATCTGAAAGATTTGACAATAAATAATTAATTAATAATTACAATAGTAATATATCATACATATAAAAAGTTATACGTGCCCAAATAATCTGGAAAGATTTAAACGACAAATCACATAACATCCGATGGACAGATTATATATTTTTTTTTTCACTTTTATATTTTTTGTCGTAGGAGATCATATTGAACAAATTAAATGTACATTGGGACGATATTGTAGGGCTAGAAGAATGTAAAACAGCTGTTAAGGAAGCCGTCGTGTATCCTCTTAAATACCCTGTCTTTTTCAATGGCCGGTTTTCTCCTTGGAAAGGTGTTTTGCTGTATGGGCCACCTGGCACAGGTAAAACATTGATATTTTCCCTTCGCTATTTTTCAAAATGCTCACGAAGAATTTACGAAACAGGCAAAACGATGTTAGCAAAGGCAGTCGCGACAGAATGCCACTGCACTTTTTTCAACATAACGGCCAGCTCGTTGGTGAGCAAATGGAGAGGCGATTCCGAAAAATATATACGTGTAAGTTATCACATATAAACAAAATAGCTGTTTAAACAATGAAGTGACATCACATTTCCGATGAAGTAATGAATTTTGTTAAACTGCACAGGCTTTATTTGATCTTGCCTACAGTCATTCCCCTACAGTTATTTTTATTGACGAAATTGATTGGATAGCCATGAACCATGAAAACTATACATTATCTGAACCTGCAAAGAGATTCAGATCAGAACTTCTTGCTAGGTTGGATGGGCTAGTGTCTACTGAAAATTCTAATGTAATTCTTCTAACCGCGACTAATTCCCCTTGGTAAGTATTTTTTTTACCTAAAGTGGTACACGTATGTTTTTCAATATTTTTTTTTAAGTAATACTTTATTATCACTTTGGAAATTTTGTACTTTCTTCATTGTATCATTAGAGTTATTTCAATATATTAACAGGACGATGATATTATGTTAATAGGGACATTGATGCAGCTTTGCTCAGGCGTCTTGAGAAACGAATACATGTATCGTTACCCGACGAAAATGCCCGACTTAAAATGTTCAAATTATATCTCAGCAACAATTTATTACAAGACATGGATATTATAAACGACATAATAAAGCATAGTGAAAAGTATTCTTGCGCGGATATAAAATTGCTTTGTAAGCAAGCATGGATGTTAGAAATAACTCCAATATGGAAAAAACTTGAGAAAGAGGAAATATCTATCGAAAATTTAAAATATGAATTAGAGAATTATAAAATATTAGCAAAATTGATGAAAGAAACATTACCTACAGTTACGGACGTAAATAAATATAATTCGTGGAATAAAAAGAAACCAATAAAAGAATCGAATAATTCTTATGTCTTCTAGTTTGGTAAATTATTATCTTTAAAAGAATCAGAAAATATTTTTCACGTTATTCTTTTTTTAATTTTTGTTTAGAGTTCATTTTATCTAATAACTTTTACGAAGAAATTTGCAAAAAAAATTATTGGAGTTTTAGTTCAGTAAAAAAAATGAAAAAGAAAAGAATTGTCTTGTAAATTATTCTTTTAATCTTTATAGCCAAAACGTATGTATTATTATCATTAGACTATAAATAATTGATGAACCAGTGAGTCGATTAACTTCTATATATAAAAAGTCGGATTTTTCCTTAACATAAATTCGAGTTGTAAAGACTTGTTGCTTTTTTCAGCAAAGTAGAAATGAAGAAAATTTTCGTCTTTGAAGTTATATAGAATGCATTATTTTCTCTATAATTATATCAACTACAGATGATTTTAAATATGTACTAAAGATACTTGTAATACGTGTAATTAATATATCCGTATTCTAATTCTATTATTAGATGTATTAGATATTAAAATATATGTAAACATGTTTTGTTTTATATGATTATTAATCGTATTGATATAACGATATATTCGAATATTTAAGAACATTTTGCGCAAAATCAATATATGATGTAATATTCTACATACAAGAATCTAAAGCATAAAACATTCAAAGAGATGATTTATGAATAAGTGAAATATTTATTTACGAGACGTTAATCTAAAATTAATAAAATCAAAATAGGTTAGATTACCACAATTAACTTAGAACATCACATAATAGGATATACTTAAATATATTTAAATAGTATTCAGGATATATTTAAATATATTTAAATAGTATTTTGTTAGATATCGATAATCATACAAAATAGAACGTGAATATTGTAATATATAACACATTTTCATGTACATATATTGAGAATTATAAGCATTAAAATACGGATATATTATGTAAGTACACATGTATTTAAATGTGACATTGTGATATTTAATAGCAATATTAATAAAAAAATTACAACTAAAATACGAAGTAAATAAATTCAATAATTGGTATACCTATATTATTGTTGTATTGTTATATAAAAATTGTTTCACAATGAAAAATTGATATAATCAACAATTCTTTCTTTTCTCGTGATTGCTTCTTGCTTGTTTCAAACCATGATAGTAACCTAGAAATGAGAACAATAAAATTGTCCATTGAAAATTTAATGCAAGATATTCGTACAAAATATTTACCTGTATGAAAACCACTAATATACCATGACATCAACATACTTGAAAGTGCATCCGTATCATTGTCTGGTAACCTAAGATGATATTTTGTTAAATATTAGAGCTATTATACTATACTATATCATATTATTTATTAGAAATTGCTTATTAACAATTAATTATACTTACTTGGCCATTAATTGTGGTGGTAAAGGAGGTGCAGGTGGCATTATATCAGCGATAGAATTAAAAGATGGTCCCGGTATGAACTGATGTTTGTATGATCTTGTTTCTTCAGATTCACAATCCATTTTTTCTCCGTTATATTTTTTTGGATTGTTTGTAGAAAAATTTTTTTTACCAGTCTCATCATTTTCTTCGTTGAATTTCTCTTCCAAAGCTTTCTTCTGTTGTGTTATCTGACTCTGTAAACCTTCCGATTCTAAAAGAGAATTCAACTGCACTTTCTCTGTGTTACCATAACCTACAAATTAAAAAATTTTGTTTTGTAAATTAGGAATTTCGTAACTTTCTACGGACACGAATTGTATTTCTTGGTTAATATTATGAACAATTATCATACTAAAAATATTACCTACAAATTTTACAATACAAGTTTTGTTTTCATAAATTTTTAATATTACAGCTTCATAAATTTCACCATCCTCTGAGTATACTGCACGACAAGGAGCTCCTACAATCCATTTCTATTAAGAAAAAAATGTGTACAGAAATTAATATTATATAAATAAATAAAATAAAATGTAAATTCTGCTTCTTTTATTTATAATATCTGTGGGAAATTTGTATTTTATTAAAATCACTACCTTGTTTGGTTTACTTGTATGCCTAGGCTGCTTAAAATTTTGTATGTTTTCCTTCAATTGAGAATCTTGAACGTCTATTCCCATTCGTTTGACAACTTTCTCTTTCGCTAGATTTATGGCTTTGTCATATGCTTTTATTAACGCGCTATCATCCCAAACATCTTCGTTGTCTTCATTTATAACCTGAAATAAATAAATTATCACATGTTATTATTAATATGAATATATGAGTATATTGATATATCGAATTATCGATAGAAAAATATTACATGATTTATTGAAAATTTATTAAAAGTTAATGCTATCAATTGCTGTTCCATCGTCTAATACTATCTTATACTAAACTGATATCAAGCACATGTATACATACGTTTCCATTTCCCCGCACAAAAAGAACATTCATATCATCCGCCATTTCATGAAAATAACTGCATTTAAATCTTGATTCTGTTTCTGAAAAATTAATTTGTTACATCTCTTTAACTGCAACACATTATAAACAATGTCAACATCACCACCAATACCAACTAAAAATTTAGTCTTTCGTTTATTCGGAAGATTATTTTTTGAGCTAAAGTTGGCATTAAAATTGTCACTAGCCGTCATATTTTTTTGCTGTATTATAATACGATAAACATTATACATGAATAAAACTTAAAAAAATCAAAAAAATCAACAAAAACATTATACATGAATAAAACTTAAAAAAATCAACAACAAAAACATTATACATGAATAAAACTTAAAAAAATAAAAAAAATCCCACAAAAACGTCACATTATATATATTAAATGGATTATGCTATATACATCCAATATAGTTTCTATAATAAGATTTTATGAAGTCACATAATTAAAATTATATTTATTTATTATTATCTCTATTTTCTTATACATTTTCTTATTAATATTGTGGATACTTGTAAAATTGGAATATTTTGTAAGATTTCAAATGTTTAATAAAAAAAGAGAAAAATAAATATTTCACCTGTAGAAAAAAAATATACGATCGTAAGTCCAAAAACAGTTTTTGGGAATTATAGAAGAGTGATATTTTTATAAAAAATTATAGATCGATTTATTTTCATCGCTCTAGAAAATTCTAGCATTCTAAAACGCATGGACCGAAGAGCACGTGCTTGGTGTACGTCACTTGTATCACAGATTATAACCTGTCGTAATAGAGAAACGTACCACGTATGTACTAGAGTATCATATTGAAAGAATGTCGTGAAAGTTTCTGTACAAAGTACAATTGATCTGTAATTAGTATTTCCCATATTTTGGTGGTTGGTCGAGGTGTTCTGTACTTGTAATATTTATAAAAGGAATGGCGTTAGTAAATCATTTAAAAAAATTCTCGAGATCAGTTCTCAATATTGCTTCGAATTATTCCAAATATACAAGCAACACAACGTTGCCTTTTTTACAGACGACAAGGGGAGCATCAACCACGCAACCGCTTTCAGAAAAACAAGAGTAAGCGACGTAGATTTTCTCCTCTTTTTCTTTAATGTTGTCTAAGAAATGTTTCTCTTTGTAGGAATCTAATGTCTAACAAATAAAATAGTATTAATAGAATATCTAAAAATAAACTAATAAAAACGATATTTTGACAGTGACCAGCTAAAAACATATATATCATTGTCATAAATACTATACAAATCTTGTTTACATATTATTAAGACGAGTATGTCTTATCTTTCAATTATTTGTAGTATTATAAGCGATTCATACAATTAAAAAAAAGTTAATTGAAAATTAACAGAAATTCTCATAAATAAAAAGATAATTCTTATTTATTATAAATATTACTATTTCCAGAGTTAACATAACGTTTGTTAGAGCAAGTGGAGAGAGAATCAAAGCAAGAGGGAAAGTTGGAGATACTATATTAGATATAGTAGTAAACAACGAGATTGATTTAGATGGATACGGTATGTTTTAAAAGAGCATAATTTGGAATAATTTCTATTATTTTTCAATTTTGACTATCATATAAATATACAGTGTAATTTTTAAATTTTTTAAAATGTAACTAAAAACATTGTTATTTATGTAGGTGCTTGCGAAGGAACATTAACTTGTAGTACATGCCATTTAATATTATCAAAAGAAGTTTATGACGCACTTCCTGACAAACCAACGGATGAAGAATTAGATATGTTGGATTTAGCATATGAATTGACAGACACGTAAGTTAATAATAGTCTAAATTTAAGAATTCAACATCATAAATATTATTAACTTTATTATTTTCAAATTTTCATTTTATTCCTTTATTTCATTTCTTTCTTCTAGACTTTCTTGTAGTCTATGTAAACTTTGTCAAATATCTTATCTTCATCATTAGTATTGGGTACTTCAAACTTTGCATTTCAATGTAGAATTTCAATCTGCCAGCTTTGAATTTAAAATTATAATAAATTTTCATAGTTTTTTATTTATGAGTCTATCCTTGTTATAAATCAATACACATATTAACATATCTACAACATTGCTCTCAAATGAATACAAAGTTGTGTTTTATAAATTAATATTAATATTATAGTATTTTATAAATTGGCTAGGTTTATATAACAATCAATATATTTATTTATATAATACTTAATTTTAGGTCACGTCTAGGTTGTCAAATAGTAATGACTAAAGAACTAGATGGAATTGAGGTAAGAGTTCCATCAACAATTAACGATGCAAGGGCGTAACTAAGATTGAGTGCTTCATGACAATTATTAAAATGTTGATAATAAAAAATTTTGCTTCTAAACATGAAGCTTATATAGTATAATTGAAATATTTTATATATAATAGTACAATTTATGTTATATAAAATTACTTATTACATTGTCATTATGAAGAATCTATACAATTGTAATTGATTTTAACTTTCAAATATTTTGAAAACAAAAAATATACGTATATCAAAATATCTTATTAAGTATAAAACATTCTGTAATTTTTTTACATTTTGTACTGTTAATATTGTAAATAAGAATACTTATAGATAATTTTAAATACTATTTAATAACAATAATTAAATGAGGCCATTGAATATATTATTTTATCCTAAAATTGAAATTCAATCGTGTCAAAGAATGTTATTTATTTAAATTTTATACATTATCGCCTTTCACTTTGAGCAATAAAATAGCAAATTCAATATTTTTAAACAAGAAAAAACTTGGTTCTTTTGTTTGATTTCCCATTGCTCGCACATTTATTAACCACTTGGAAATAAAATACTTACGCGTTACGAAAAATTTATAATTTATAAACTGTTAAACGCTTTACTGAATTTGAATTCTGTCGTCTGTTCAGAATAATTTATTATTTTTTTAATTAGGTACATACCAAATACATTTATTAAGTCGGTACTTCTCGTAAGTATCAGTACATAAAGCTAAAACACTTTTGTACTATGCTTGTTATATATAGACCTAATGAATAATTTAACTTGTGTATTGTCGCTTGTATATTTTGTTCACGTGTAAAATATTCTATTTCTACACTTCTTACAAATTCAATATAAAGTGTACATTATCATGAAATTTACATATTTTCACTCGGTTACCCTGCCCAATTTGAATGTAATTCAGTACGTGTGTGATATATTTGTATATGTTCTGGATTTTTATATACTATGTACATTGAGCCAATCTTTATAAATGCAAATTTAACGACACGATAATAGTGTAAAATCAATGAGAAATTTGTTATTAATTTCATTCTGACAAGTTTTCATTGAACGAATTGAGTAATTTAGCAACAATTGAGCAAGTGGAAAATACAAAATAAAGTACTTTCATTATTTTCTATTGATCTAATATTATTAAACGAACATGTAGTAATGCTTCGAAAGATATTGTAAATTAAAAACCATTGGCCAACAATTGTTCTAGTTTGTCATACTTTGAAAATTGTGAAAGCATCGAGAATCTCGTCTCTTTAAGATTAAAGTGCAAATATAAATAAATAAACGAAAATTAAAAATACTCCGATAAAAATTATAACGAAGAATCGTCCGGCTTATGTAAATACGTGTAAAATTCGAAGTGAGTCTCGTACATCTTTCGAAATACTACCATTCGTTCGATACACAGAGAGTAGCAAACGTTAGATCAACACTTTGTTCGGTAACAATTTTTCAAAACTCTTAAATTACAATCGAAAAGTTCTTCTATAATAAGAATAGTCGGATTAAATTATTTTGAGATAATAAGATACTTGACATCTCTCCTCTATTTAAATATGATGCCAATTTTAATTCTATCAATACACACACACACACACACACACACATATATATATATACTCGTTTCTTCGAATTTCCTTTTCTCATTTCATTTTTCTTTCTTTCATTTCGTATTTAATTACACAGAAAAAAATATGAATACGTTCCTCATAAAATTAATATCGAACGTCGCGAAATACTCAGAAGTAAGCTAAGAAAAGAAATAAGATATTATTAATTCTCTTAAAAAAAAAAAAAAATTCATTCTATGCACACGAATGATCGATCATATTGTGTATGTACATGTAGATTATTAGAAACAATACATTTTTATATTTCTTAATATCTCGTTCAAATAATTCTACAATTGAAACTCATATCGGCCTTCGTTTCGATTAACTGCATATTTATTGGAAGTAATTACGCTACAGTTTTGCACGCAAGAGAAGAAGGAACAAACACGTATAGTATACACGCTTAAATAACAAAATTAAGTTGATTTACGTTCAATGTGAACTTGATCGAAGTTCCAGTCTCGAATTATAGAGTTTCTTCCTATTAATTTATAAAATTCAGTATTACGGTCATGTATCATCATTTGGAGAATATGTTTGTCAATGTTTGAACAATGTTAATATTTGCCAAGGCGAGTACGAAAAGAAAATATTGTTGAACTTGATACAAATGTTCTTCATGTTTCTTTCTTACTTTTACTGCTTTTCAATTCTCTATAGTTCAAGATTTGAGTTCTTCATCTCCGAGGATGCACACGCAACAAGAAAACTTGTAATCGTTGAATTACGCCGCAACAGTCGAAAATACAAAAATCTTCTTTTTTCGTGAGAATGAAAGTAATCTAGGACTAGAGGTTTCATTAATAATAATAATAGTAACAATAACATTAATATTAATAAGCCAATAATATTAATATTAATAATAACGTAATTAAGTAATACTAACAGTATCAATAATAATAAAAAAATAATAATAATATAGTAATGGCAAGATACACGCAAGTATAAATTAGTCGTACCTTTCTTAATATTTATGACATTTTCGGGACATTCTTTAGAAATTGCTTCATGTTCAATAACCATTGACGAGCAATTTTATAACATCGTTGCACCTTCTCTTTCCGAGAACAATCTCTGATATTTTTGCATCAACCAGTTAAAAAGCTATTCAAAACATTGCTTCCGTACGATTAATAAACTTTACTGTTCGCACAATATCGAAATTATGAAAATCGTTCTTTGAAAACAATCATTCCTCTCTCCCTTTTAATTAAAAAACAAGCTCTTTCGACGCACGTTTCTCAACACATCTCCGATGCTTTCTATGTAATAATAATATAGCTTGTTTTTCAAAGAAAGGCTTAACACGTGGATGAGTTAAACAGTTCATGAGATATGAACGATGAATAATCAAATACATTCGACAAGCGAACAACAAAACTGCCGCTTTACCGAATAAAAATGGAGTTTTCAATGTACATAAAGTGAAACAATGTTAGTAAAACAATTTTCATTATTTTATGGTCCCCATGTAGTACTTTTGATCAAGGTGTTTCACTTTAATTCCCCTTATTGTCTCAATTGATCGCGACCCCCCCACAAATTTCACAAATTTCTTTTTACTGCTTTCTAATCCTAACTTCTTCACTTTTGGTCGGTCAAGCTATGATCTTCCAAGCAACGAGTTAATTCGCAAAGCTATTCTTCGAGCTGACATTGAATACTAATGTCCACAATAAGAGAAAAGACATCATTATACCGAACATTCCTCGGCGAAATATAATATTTCAGTTTCAATTAAGAATTTTTACAAGTCAAGCGACATTCTCTATATTAAGACCGGATCTTTAAATGAAAAAGAAAGAAAGAAAGAAAAAAGAACGATGTACAAATCAACCAAATTTTTAATACTAAACGCACTTTCTATATACCTATTCCTACTGCTAATCGATCAGGTCTTTTTTACCGATTGTTAGGAATACAGATATTTGTCGATTTAATACAGGATTTAATACAATGCACAAGTAAAAATCAACACTCGGATGATAAGGAAATTAATTGCTCATTTTTGTCGAAGAGTCGAAGGAACGCAGTGTTTCAAATGAAATGTATATGGTACGTTTAGTGTTAAACCAACGTGGACAATTCGTGCGGGCTGTTGGTGGTGGCTGCGCTGCTTAAATCCAACGTGGCAGCAGGAAGACCGGGACTGACGCTGCCGGTCGCCTCCCGTGGCAAAGGTTGCGATCTATTTAACTTGTTTCCAGGACTTGGTGGTGATCTATCCGCTGGTGTGTCCGGTGGAGTGATCACGTTCCTGTGCCCGGTCACGTTCAGATGATTGTGCGTCGCAGCAATCGGAGCTGGCGATGAGAGCAACAAGGGCGGTGGGGACATCGACACGTGCCGATGATGATGATGGTGATGATAATGTTGATACTGTGTAGCACGGCCGTGCGTTGCATGGCTGACGTTTAGCTGATTCGTCACAGGGCCGACTTTCGTTGGGCAGCCAGCGTGGTGGATGGCCAATGGGCTACGTAGTTGTTGATGCTGTTGCAACTGCGGCTGGTTTTGATACTGTTGCAGCTGCTGCTGACGCTGCAGCTGCACCGCCGCCTCGCACTGTTCGCGCGCTAACGCCTTCACGGCATTCGTCTTCTCCTGCGAAGAGTAATAAGAATGGCCGGTTAGTTTGATCTGAACTGTAAAGTTGTCGCAACTTTTTTGTGAATTCTAGTAGTAGCAGACACTAGATGACACTCAGTTTTGATTGAGAGATCAAACGTGTATCACGACGATTTGCGAAAAGTAAAAGTTTTCAG